TTAACCCCAGTGAGGCATCTCTAGAGATGGAATTGCAAGTGACTAAGGTAATTTTAAGTGATAAGTGGGCATTCAAGCTGTGTCACGAAATAAGGCCTGTCCCTGACATTAACCCCAGTGAGGCATCTCTAGCAAAGACTTCCATCTGTGGTGCCATACTGACAGTTACCGAGGAAATATGCTACCCTCTTGAATAATCCCAAACTGCTTTTTCCCTCCTTTTGTGTTAGGAATGTGGAGGTAACTAATACATAATACATTCCGCTTTGCAGCAAGTTAGCAGCTGAGATAGGTAATCATTTGAACAAGTTCAATGTTTTTGCATTATGCATCAGAAAACCCACATTAAGTGTCAAAGCCATAAAGGTAGGCTGCCTGCTCATGCTGATAGCAATCAGGTCATGTTTTATTGCTTATTAATCATCACAGTCTAGAAGGGTGAGTTTCTGTGCAAATACTTCAGAATTCCTGCCCCAGGAGGTGGCTAGTAAAAATAAAACTGAAACTCAGAAATAGCATCCTTCATTACCTACTTATGTTTTTAACTGATCTTTTGTATATGTGCTGCTTTCTGCACCTAAATTAGACATCTAGCTTATTCTCTTTTTTCCTTTTTTTTCCAAGTGCTAAATATAATTTTCGTTTTACAGACATCATTTCACATCACTCACTGCACATTAGCTTTCTATTGCTGTTTATATTTGTCATATAAATATTCTTACATATGTTGTTTGGAACAGTCATATTTTTCTATTGCATTTTTATAAATCTGTGCCCGTTTTATTCTCTGCATCATTTCTTTCATGCTAGTTTGCTTCTGACACTGGAATTTCTATCTGAGGTTATTTAGAGTTCAGTGGCAAATGGCCTTTTCCTCAAAAGTTACACCTTTCTCCATGATCAGACTGACCTCTTACCTGTGTGCGCCCACTGTTGCCATCCTTTATCATGCGCTGAAACAAATATTGATCATTATTTTATCGTTCTCAAAGTTCAGATTTTAAGACACCCCTAAAAAGTTGTGATACTGTTATACAATTCTCAGGTCTCAGAATATATAGACAGTGTTTAATTGCATCTTGTTACTCAGCTTTTATGACCAACTTACAAAAAAAGTATCTCCTAACTCAGTCAACAGCATCCGTTCAAGCAAAGTCTTGAGAGAAGTGATGGGACTAGTATAAGGTGAAATTCAGACCGGTCTCTGTTAGGACAATCTTTGTAGCTGACTTCAACTTTTGTGCCTACACTGGGAGGGGGTTTCTCAAGGGAACAGAAGCTATAAAGGGCTATACAGCCCCCTCTGAGTCCCAATTTGAATTTGGAAGACGATGTGCTTTGTCAGAAAAGCTCTGCAACGTGATTGCTGAAACTAAGAGCCACCAAGGGACCAGCAGTGATTTCTAAGTGGTTTTAATGAGTAGTCACACAAAGCAAGGCAGCACCATACTGAAAAGAACTGCAGTAATTAACTAATAAGCCTACAAGATACAGTACAGCACCAATCCAAAATACTATCCTAGAAACAACGCAAGTGAGTTGGGCACCATCTCTACAGTTACAACCACAGGTCTTTGCTTCTGTGGTTACTTCTTCGTGGTTCGCTCAGAGAACTCTGCTGCCTACATTGATGTACTTGTCCCAATCCAGTTGAAAAGATGGAAAAGCATGGAAGACCCTGGCTCTGCTTTTGCCATCCTGGCATCACCTGAAATTTGGTTTAGGGAGAAGCTGGTGTGGTACTGATATAGGTTACAAAGTACTTTTAGGCAGGAGCAGCATCTCTCCAGGAGCCAAGCTATATACCTTCACTATAAATATCTGACCAAAATATTGATATCTTCTTTAATGGTGAGCATGGGGACCACCTGCTCTGCATTTGCATGGTACTTCTTCCTCTCCCTTGGTGTCACGTGGTATCAAAGGAAAACTATTTCCCCAGTCAGGCTTCTGTAGCAGACTGGTATTTTCCCATATATGATACCATAAGATATGTTTAGCAAACCCGTTTGTATCTGACACTTGACCCAAACGCAAGCGAACTTTCTTTAGCCTGCAGTCTATGTTGCCACCTTCTCATGTTTGACCTTCATCTGCTGTTTCTTCCTTCCGAACCTGATGCCAATGCCAGCTGCATCCGGCTCACACATATTAATGCCTGTGTTTGTGCCAAATGCTCCTACAGTTTGTATCTCATCCGTTACTGGCCCTTACCAATGTGGATTTCCCAGCTCCTGGGGACCTTTTGACTCTTTCCTGTCCAACGTGTTCAGGAGGTAATTGTGAAGGCTGAAGTGGGCTGTTCCAGCTCTCCCAGGCTCCAGCCCATTCGTGCTGCTGGCTGAGTGGGGGTGTTTGTGCAAAGTGCTGGTGTGAGGCGTGTTGTCGCATCCAGGCCTGGGAACCCGTGGTTGTTGGAAGACAGTTGTGCCTGTTATAAAGTTAGTTGACTTGAAAAGCTTTTCAGGTGGCTAACTTTTCCCACTACAGGGATGGCTTCAGTGAAACAAGTGTGCACAGTTAATTGAAATATCTATATCACAGCAAGGCTATAAGGTTTTATAAATAGTAAACATATTAGGCAAATTACAAAAATATAAAATCAAAGTAGAACAAATATCTGGCTACCAGCTGAAAAACATTGATGTATGGTTTAATTTAAAAGTGATCAATCTCATGGAAGGCCTTAAGTGGGTATGTCTGGAAAGTTTAAACTTTTTGGTGTTCTATACAGACCATGAAATACAGAAGCAGGACCTTTTGCTTGCTTTTTAATTAAAAGACATCTCGTGTTCCTCTCCTTGTTGCATGGATCTGCATAATTTCTATCAATATGGAAAGAGAATTACGCTTCCTTTCTTTCCTTCCCCTGATTTTTAACCTATTGATAGCAGTTTAAGAAAGAAATTGTATAGTATAATATATAGTAATGTTCAAATTTGGTTTCATAGGAAGAAATGTTTAAATCATTTTCTCTGACGTTTTCTGTAGTCATAGGTACAAGGAAATGTTAAGTACACGGTAATTTTCTGTTATGCTATTCACCCTCCCCAAAATCTGTATTCATGGCCATTCTCAAGCATCACACATGCTAAAATGCACCTTCAAAGTACGTTTGAGGAAAACACGGTATGCACCTGGAAGGCCATCTTCTCTGTGTACTGGTATTTACCCATAGTGCTTTAACTAGAGTTCTCTGGTAGAGAGGGCTCTACCTCCCATTTCTTCATGAGCTTCTCCAGCCCTGTCAGTCCTACCTGCTGTTCTGCTGTGTTTTGATCTTTCCCCTGGATACGTGGCCTTTACATTTGTCCTGTAGGGTCTTTATTGACTGGTGCTTTTTGCTCAGTCTCAGATTAGGAACAGTGAGCCAGTGAATATAAGTATGTAGAGTAAGATATAATTTATTAGTAGTGTTCCTGAAACAGTCATCTTAGATTCACAGATACAGAGACTGAATCAGTGCTTAACAGTTTCATTAAATTGAATTTCTTGTTATTTGGAAAATCCTATTTGGCAAGTTGCTGATGCTTGCTATTTCAGTAACTTGCAGTCTTTTGAGAAGACAGCTGGGTTAATACATTATTGAATATTTTTAGAATCCTTTAGTGCTGAGTTCACAGGATTCTCTAAGTGAAGTAGACTTAAAAGCTAAAAAGTTTTTGAACAGGGTTTTGCTTTGAAGTTTCTAAGGGGCTGCTTCAGTTCTAGTGCCAGTAAAACCTAGAACGTGTTCTGAAAGGCTATAAATAGCGGCAGTAAAACAATGGATTTCATTTGGCAAGTAGTTCTTATCGATAGGAAGGCAAAGGAGGCCACTGCTTACAGTGGGTACAAATGTATACTCTGCTTTGTGGTTTCATAGGACTGGGTAGAAATTAGGCTTTTGGGGAGAATTTCCCACTGAAAGAACATATATTACCGTTACTTATATCTTTCTCTTCTATATTGGGGAAAAAATTAAAAATCATGGTCTTTCAAACACACTCTCTTTGAATTGAGAAATATGAAAGAGCTTTTGCCTATGTTAGGCTAAATATTCTTAACATTAGAGGCCACCTTTTAGCTTTTTTTCAAAATTAGGCCATGTCATTTTCAACCAAATGTCTGTTTTTAAAGGTAATACAAACAAAGCAGGTTTTGCTTTTATGTATTATTACTATTGTTATTTTTATTTATATATCGTTTTGTGTTATTACATTATTTTTTATGTTATTATATTATTACAGGTTTTTCCTCTCTGTCTTTTATAGCTAAATGATATCTCTATCACTTTTACTATCGTGGCTTGTACTTTGCTTTCTTCCAGTTGCTTCAGAGCTGTCCAAAATAATAAAAATAATAGTCACTGAGAAATACCGCCTTATTAAACTGATCGCTCTAAGCCAGTAACAAGAAGAGGAAGAGAATCACTGAAAATTACCTTTATATTTAGAAACTTCTTGAATACTTAAATATTGTTTATTTTCAGCAGAAGCAGAAAACACTGAGTACAAATGAAATCAAGGGGCTGTCAAACTCCGTGTTTAGCTTACCAGCGGTGTAAATGGCCACTGCTTGATCCTCAGCTCATTTATCTTTCTTTTAAGTTATGGGAAGCTTTTTTCCATACCATGAAGTCGGCTCCTATAATAAAAGAATGTTGAAAATGGAAGGCAATTTAGAAAGATTTGTCAGCTATTTATGCTCCTTAAAACAAAACAAACACCACGTTTATTTTGCAGAACTAGAGAAGAAAGGAATTGACGAATTATCAGCTGGCCTCATGCAGGAGAGTTAAACACTGGCACTAATTAATGGCTAGTTAGCAGAGCACCATCTTGATCTCAGTGGAGGTCGCCTGGATAGGGGCCATAAATCCATACAGCAAATGAGAACAGCTTCAAGATGCTTCATTTCAGCTAAATGAGATGGTGGCCCTCAGCTGCTAGGAAGCTGCTAAAGCAGTATTTATTAGGTCAGAGTTTGGGACTCGCAGATCTATTTCATTCCTGCTGGCCATGCAGCTGCTCGTTATTGTTGATAATTTTTCTAGGGCTTCAGTAGTTTTACTGAGCGCTGTTTTCCTCTTGCAGGCATTTGGACAGTCCTTCTCGATTCACCGCAAAGTGGCTGAAGATGGTGAAACACGCGAAGAGACTCTCCTCCAGGAGTCTGCATCAAAAGAAGCTTATTACCTCGGGAAGATTTTGGAGATGCAGAACGAGCTGAAGCAGAGCAGGGCAGTGGTCACCAACGTTCAGGCAGAGAATGAGAGACTCACTGCTATTGTCCAAGACTTGAAAGAGGTAAATGGGGGTGTGCAGGGAGCAAGGGGCTGAATTTTCTTGGAGTATCATGGGTGGCATGGCTCTGAGTCATGAAAATACTACAAGAAGTAAAAATGCTCACCTACCAGTCTGTGATCATGCCAGAAACCACCTGGCCTGAGGGGGCTGTGATTTGGAAAGGAAAAAATGTAACTTTTTTAAACAACAACAAAAAACCCCTACGAATATAATAAAACCCAATTCAGGAAGCTATAATTTCCCAAGTACTCATAGTATTTTGCATTGTATTTTATAACACTTACATATAAGTGAATTTTACATAAACACATTTTCTGCATACTTCTGATGTTCGTGCAGCTCCTCTCTTTCTCAACATTCACATAATTTCTCAGGTATTCTGGATTGACTAGGAAAACCCCTACAAATATAATAAAACCCAATTCAGGAAGCTATAATTTCCCAAGTACTCATAGTATTTTGCATTGTATTTTATAACACTTACATATAAGTGAATTTTACATAAACACATTTTCTGCATACTTCTGATGTTCGTGCAGCTCCTCTCTTTCTCAACATTCACATAATTTCTCAGGTATTCTGGATTGACTAGGATTAGATAAAGCTTTCACCAGATTTCTTCTGCTGTAGAGCAAAATTAAAATGCATGATCATGTTTAGAAAATGGGAAACAGTAAGGAAGCCAAATGTAGTTATTGGCTACGTGGGACACAGTAGTTATTGATTAATTTCAGTGGAGAAATTAGTAATATTTAATAATTTTACTTTTTCCCCTTGATATCTGGAAGTTTAGACAGAAGGTTTTTTTTACTTACTATTGCTTCCTCATCCCAGTTAGTGGAGAACTGATCTAATTTTACTAATTTATTCTTTCTGTATAGATGGTTAATTTGTACAATCCACGTAGCAAAGCTCAACACAAGACCATACACGAGAGGAAGGTGATTCTGTTTCCTTCAACTTTACAAGCAAACTGGTTCTTGCTGACGTTCTCATACACTCCCTAAGGTGTGTGTGTCCCACCACTCTGGCCAGCCACTAATTGTGGTGAAATGGAGGATAAGGGATACTGAGTATCAGGTCCTCATCACCTCTCCTGGGTTCCTCATAGATTTGTGACTATGTGCTGGTGTTGGACGTGCCTTTTGTGCCCGTAAGGAGTTGACATTTATTGAAATCGTTTGCCTCTTTGGCTGTCCCACTCCTGTGGGTCACTGCAGATCTATTCGTTGCCCTCTAGTCTCCTCCCTTGGGTGTCTGAGAAGCTGCACGTGAGTCTGCCGTGATCCTGATGGCCTGTTCATCGAGGTGCCTTCAGTGCACGCTTTTATCCTTCTGCCGTTTCTTCTAGTGCTTTCACACACACGTTCATACCTCGTTCATAGCGGTCTGACTGTTTGTCTTACAAACCTCTGCAGATTCGGTTTTCCAAGCAGAGCAACTACACGCAGGGGAAGGCAGCACTTGGAAGTAACACTACATCTTTCCTGCTTTCCCTAGGAATGCTTGGATTTAGGGGCTCTCCCCACTGTCCAGCTGCTGGAAGAGATCTTTCCTAGGTGATTCCTGAAAATGCTTCTTTCATGTGAATTTAACAAATTAACAAAGATTATCATGTTTTCTGTAGCTGAGTGGAATGGCATCCTCTTAACCTACAGAAACCCCTGGGACAGGGTCTCCCTGGGACTGGGTCCTTTACTCCCATTGAACATTCTTATTTAACGGTTGCACTGGACTTGCACATAATACAAGTCAGGTTTCAGTAAGAAGTAAATATATTCTATTTATTCACAAGATCCAAATAAAATATGTGATTGTAATTGCTGTTGCGGTGGTTAACTGAAAAAAAAAAAAAAAAAAAAAAATTGCTGTTGCGGTGTTAACAAAAAAAAAAAAAAAAGAAAATCAAGTTTATATCTACTCATCCTAAAATCATATCCTAAAAGCCTCTCTGGTAGCAGGCAACCAGCTGCTGACACACCTACCTAATCATTTGGTTAAAGATCTCGGGCAAGCAGAATCCTAGATGTGGGGTTCAGTCACAGATGAACAACCAAGCTAGAGGATACATGTTTGTCTTTGTACTTGATTTCTTCCTCTGGGGTCTCCTTGGGATTCCTTCAGATGCAAATCTCCCTTCCATTTTCTGTCATGATTATTGATCTGTAAGTTATTCAGGAGGCAGTTTCAGTACCTGTCCTCCCTAGAATATTGATTGTCCTCATTTCTATGGAGATAATAGTAAACCCTAGTGTGAGACCAGCTGCAATTATTCCCTGTTCTAATGCTAAATAGAAACTAAGCCCTAGTAGTTAATTAAAGTGCAAGAAAAGAATTTACTTGAATAAAAATAAGGCGGATAAACTCTTTGTTATTATTAGGATGATGTTGGACCATGAGTATAAAGTCCTTGACTATGTTGAACTTCTATTTCGTGGAACTACAATCAATGTATTTAAACATAAATGGGATTAGTGCAGTCAGTTCATTACCAAGCTTACACCACACACTATTATGATTAATTACTTAAACATAATAACAGATAGAGGGTGATTGACACCTACCTCAGGTTCTTAGGGGTCTTGTCACACTGAATTACACTGGTATTTCACCTTGTGCTCAAAGGATTCTCACCCTTGTACCCAGCTCAGTATACCTTGGTCCAAACATATAAATCCTAAGGCTCCGATGTCCAGTTGCCTGCAGAAATGAGATGCCCTTCTACTTAAGTGTTTATGAACTTTGTCTGCTTGGTTCTGGGTACTGCTGATAGGAAAAGGCAGACTTAGCTTACTCCAAATCTTGACAACCACTAAGGCGAAAAAAGAACATTTTTTAAATGAGATGTCTGGTACCTTTTGGGGTAAAGACAGTCACTAGAAGCTGCCGCAGGTAGATTGCTACAATGAGAAGGTAATTTGTCTCTTTAACCAGTATATTTGAAAATCTACTTAGAGAAAAAAAATGGAAGAAAAAAGGATGGTCTTTATGTGAGTAGCTGTACTGAGTGATGCAAAGATAGATTCTAGATGTAAGTTACTTGGATGCATCCTGTCTCTTCCCCTCCCTGCTTCACCCCCCCCCAAGAGAATAGGCTTTATAGTTGTTTTCTAAACCTTACTAAGATATCTTATAAGCTAAAACAAAAAATAATCACTCCTTTCACCTTCAGACTTAATATAAAAGGATTGAAAAACTGCTTTGTGGTTCTGGAAATAGCATTTTTGCATAGATTACAGAAATTTATGGTACTTTATCTGTGCACTCAGTTCCTTATGATACTGAAGACTGATTGCTAGGCTTTCAAAAAGTGACCCATGTTATTGGTACCACACCCCTAAATAACACAGTCGGTGCTCCTCCATTCTCTAGTCTGTTGTGGGAGTTCCCTTCCAAACAGGTTCTGCTTTCTGAATTTGCACAGAAATGCATAGTCATATGAATGTGTATGAGCATTTTGTGAACCATCAGAATACACTTGCATGAATGGTGATGGCTTTTAGGAATCTTGGGAATTCCGTAGCCCCAGAGTTTAAAAATTCATGCCTTTTTGCAAGTATCTGCCATATAGTCACAGCTGATGTCTGCAGGGCAGCTTGACCTGGATCCCCCTTGCAATAAAAGGGAATGTATCAGGCTCAGGTCCCTGGAGATTATGCATCTCAGTCTGGGAAAGCAAACAAACTGATTTCAATGCTCATCACTAGAAAAAGACATATTTTTGAAGAACTTGAGCATTTGTTTCACCCTGCTGGTGAAGGATGAACCAGGAATCTCTGTGCACAGACGGCTTTCTAGATTCATGTTAAAATGATCAAAAGAATAAAACACCAGCAGCATTATTTTTGATGTAATAAAAATCCCTCCAGTTCTGGATAGGAATATTATTAACTATCATCTAACTAAATACACATTTTGGAAAGCAGGTAGCCCTTTTCATTCTTTTCTCCCACCAAGGCCTCAGACAGGGGACGTAGAACGTTGTTTGGAAATTCTTAAAACTGCTGTAATCTGAACCAGAAAATACACTGATTTTAGAAGTGGGGCCAGAGAGATCATTTTTTAGCAGAAACCAGATTCGTGTATGTTATAAATCACACAGTTTATGGTAGGTGGCCCCTCTGTGTAGAGGGATCAGTCATGTTATTAGCTCATTTAACCTTTTCTAACTGCCTGACTTTATAATAAATATTAAAGAAAAATCTTTTTAAAATACAATCTTTTATCATTTTTGAATTCTCCAGTGTTTGTTTTTTCCTATTTAAAAACACTGTGTTTACTTATGGTCGGGAGATGAGTGACTGGTTCTTCCATTTGTGCCATTGAAAAATCTTTCCTTGTGGTAACCATAAGCACTTTATAGATGGATAAAGAAGATGAAGTCACTACTCTGAGAAGTTGATAACTGACAGAGGTGGTTATGTAAGCAGAAATGATCCAGCTCAGGAGCTGGGGCAGAAAGTTCTTGTGCTGAGATCATACTCCTCCTTCATGCGGAGGCTGAATGCCTTGGAGCTGGGCATCTGACTCAAAAGAGGTGGCATCTGAGGGGGAAAAACATGAAGCAAAGAGGGGAAGCAGGTGAAGCTGTAGAAAATGGCAGTGAAAGATGGTTGTATGGTTTGAGTTTTGACTAGGATTAGGAGTTGTGCAAGGTGGGTAGATGAATGCTTTTGTGCCTGAAAGAGGCTGGCAGGTACGGGTCAGCTCTTTCTTCCCAACAAGACTAGTGAAAAGAAGGAGGAATAACATAAAGTCGGGAAGCAGAGGGTTAAAACTCATAGTCTGTGCTACTAAATGTCACTGCAGCAGCTGCTAGGCTTGCAGAAAGAAATCAGCACCTGGGCACCTGCAGTCCAGGAGATAAAAGATGAACAGGGAGGTTTATGTGATGGCAATGTTAATGGGCCATGGCAACAGCACACACCTGGGCTTCCGGAGGGCAAAAGTAGGGATGAGGGCACTGGAAAACTGGGTGGGGAGAAATATATGAATTGGTG